CCGTAGCCACCAGATCCAGTCTGTATCCAGACCAGATGGTGGATCAGCACCTAGAGATGACCTCGACAGCCCTGAATGTCAGCAGAGACCAGGACAACTAGATAAGCCTCAGAGACAGGTCCCCAGTGAAGACCTCGTCACCTTGACCACCATCAGCACGAGACCACGAGAACCAGACGAGTCCTCTGCACAATCTGACCTGTGCTGCAGCCTGGAATTATGCTGGTTTGGTCTGGCCAGAGGAGAACACTTAATTTCTGGCAATATTGTCGGCTTGATTGCACAGAGACTACTGGAATAGAGCTGAACTGGATGATGAATCACTGAATCATCAATGAACTGACTTTAACTGAAAAACTGAGCGTTTTCTATTGTCCTCTTGCATTATCAGCACACTATTTTTCTGTTTAATACTGTAAACCTGCTTTAACACAATCTGTATTGTATAAAGCGCTACAAACAAAGGTGGCTTGACTTGACTTGACTTAAACGTTGCAATTTCAGCAACAATAATATTCATACCAAATATAGTCAAAAACTACATTTATAATATTTCAGAGATGCTGATGGAACAGTGAAACACTCACCAATGCTGGTGGGGAAGATGTCCTCGTTATTGATCTGCATCTCTATCCAGTCCATCAGCAGGTTCATGTACTGAGGCGCCGGCAGTGGTGTGGGCTTCTTGTACTTGTGCTCGTCCTGCCATCGGTACTCGTAGCGCGGGCCGCCGGACATCACCGGACAGCTCTTTTCCATGCAGAACTCGCACACTGTGCCGTAGATGAGGTTGATGCGGTTGAAGAAGTCCACCACGTGCACAGCCACCCAATCGTTCAGATCCTCGCCCTGAGGCAGCTTCACCGCTGCTCTCAGATCCAGCCCCGAGCTCAGAGACGCCTGCGCCCGCTTGTGCAGATCGAAGCGCTGCGTGCCCGGCTCGAACTTACGCTTGGGCCGGAACGTCTTGTCTTTGTTAAACACTTGTTTGAGTGCGATGGACATGATGTCTTTACCTTCAGCGGGTGAGTGAATAAAGCGCTGAGAGTCTGGAAGAGTCTGGATCCTCTGCGTTATGACATGCTCTCCTGAAAAACAAGCGAGCCGCAGTTCAGAACCTGCCCTCACACGCTGATGGGCGCATCCATACAGAACATCAGCATTCAGCTCATCTGTCTCCAACTATAAATGGGTCATTCTGTGTCAAATCAACCAGAGGTCCCCTGCTCAAATTTTAGATTTTGCTAATATTTTTTCTGAAAAATGATAAACATGTAAAGTGATGAAAACCAAAATATTAAATGGCATGGATGAATATTTACTGAGTAACACACAGTTTTGTAGAGGGGGGTCAAAATGACAATTTTCACCTAAGATTCAGAGCCAGATTACAGGGGTGTAAAAATGACTTTAGAAAGATGGCAGCATCATAATGTTGCTTTCACACAGAGATTGGTAGGTCTGTTAGTAAAATCTGTTGACTTTAATGATCTTTGTTGCATTATATGCCAATGGTGGTGACCATTCAAAAATGGGGAAAGAGCACTTTTCAAGTTTTTTCTCCAAAGTTTGCAGGCCTGTAACTCAAGAAGTATTAAAGATATCTTAATGCCCTTTTAGATATTGGGTCTTAACAAACTTTCCTTTTGGCTTTTTCATTTTTAAGGCCCTGTTTGGTTCAGTTACAGAGATATTGGAATTTCAATATGGCCATAAATATTATTTTCCCAAAGTTTCCTATAAGTCAAGCAGTATTAAATATATTGCAATATGATTTTAGATTCTAGTTCCTAATAAACTTTTCCTTTGGAATCTTTATTTTCGAGGCATTTTCCTACATCATTCAGTCCCAGAGATATGGGGATCTCAATATCCAGATTGTTGCATATTACCCATTTTCAGTGGTCGAAAACCAAATGTTGGTTAGTTTCTGAAATTTGGTTGATTTGACATGGAATTACCTAAATATGAGTACAACAACTATTTAGACTAACAAACACACAGTCAAAAATTTGGCCACACTTGACTGAATTTAATGTTTCTCGTGAACTTAAACACCTATTGGTCTAAAGGCACTTCTGCTTAAAAGCTTGAAACTAACTTCGTAGACAAATATGAGTAAAAGGAAGAGAGTGTTTTGATAGTGGATACTGAAATGGTTCTCCCTCAGTAGTGTGCAGAAAGCATCCCAGACAGAGTGAGCAGAGCTGGGATCTAGACAAGCTCAAATATAAGAAAGTTTTCATTTGTTTTGATCACTACATTGTTCCCATACACATGTGAAAGTAAGCACAATGTATTGACTAGTACTGCAGATATACCTAAAAATACTAGCTATATAATCCTGCAGTGCTGACATAAATCATGATGGCCAATGAGTGAATCTGTTGCATCTGTTGTGCTTGAGGCCAATAGTCGTGTAATGACCTCATCCTGAAGAGATTCTCCAGCACACATGCTGGTCGACAGATTCAACACCACCTAAAACAAGAGATCCAAGCCAAAAGACACAGCCAGATGTCATAAGGTGTGATGTGAAGGGTTTTAAGACTTTGGTTGTATTGGATTTGACATCTGTGACACTGCGACAATCCTAAACACACTCCACATCACTGTCATGACAGGAGTCATGTTTGGATCAAGACTACTGTACTCATTTCTGAGAGGAACACAGGGACAGACATTCCCACACCTGAGCTTCATGAACTGATGCCAAAAACACAGCAGAGCTTAAAGTTTCTGGCTGTTTCTGACTCTGAGAATCGGGTCTGTCATGGCGCATTCAGTCAAACAGATACAGCTCATCAAGACGACACCGTGACATTTTACAAATTTGCCTGTTTTCTACATGTTACGAATGAGTCAGACCGTTTTCTAGCCAGTCAATGTTTAACTCTCATTCCGTGCCCTAGTCTTCAAACAGAGCAGATAACTAACCGCACATTCTTGTTATCCGAGTCACTGTGCAGAAAAATAACAGAATGCACAGTTAGATCTATCTCAGGTTAATTGCTGTGGATAAAAAGTATCCGCAAACCAACGAGTAAAAGACATTCAATCTATCTCAATCTGTAATGCTTTCACAAACACTTTTATACAATGCAATCAAGATGTGTGTTTCATCAGTTCACGCCGTCGTCACATCTGATCAGTTTCATAAACATTGCCCAGATCTCTTCCTGATGAAAGCGCTAGTAAAGGATCGATGGAGTGTGTGTGTGTTTACTCTGATCAACAGGATCGAGAAAAGGAAACATAGCATTAAACTATATGAAAAATGTGTTATATTAATGGTCAGTTCTGATCAGTAAAAACATGTTTTCTAGGGGGAAAAGAGCAGAAAAAGTCTGATACAGATTCATGAAGAGGCATGTGTAAGCAGTAAAACATGAGGTCCTTTACCAGCAGTATCATACGCCTGTCAAAACGCGCCACGTTACACTAACATCACGCCTTATTATACACTGGACATCAAGCAGCGACCACACTGTTTATCACACAAAATTAACAAAAACAATTATTAGTATCTTTAATTGCAAACACCCGACAATACACAGATTTTACACAGTACACAGGCTGAACAAAAACATTTGACTTTTATACTGTCCTTACAGTATGAGTGTTTAGTTTCTAACCGTTCTTTTTTCAGTAGCTGACAGCCAATAATTAACACACAAACCATGCATTTAGTGCTGCTTTTCCCCTTCTGTCTTCGATCTGACCAGAAAAGGCCAGAGATCAATGTTTGAGTCGTGGCTCCTGGTTGAGAAGTGCTGGTCTATCTATCAGAGATGGTTTCACCAGGATCTGTGCTCTATTCATCATCTATGACCCTCATCTCATCTCATCTCATCTCATCTGATATATTAGTCTGTCTTCTGTCTCACTACAATACCAGTGCAGTTTTGTCCTTCAGTGTTACTTCAGCTGATTTGTTCAAAACAAACCCAACGCACTCATCTCTAGTTCTGAACTCCTTCCTCTAGTTATGAATTAACAGCTGCACACTAACCACGTCTAGACCTGTTACTAGATTTTATAGATGTTATACTTACACTTCTGCATGAGGCTAAAAGGTGAATCGTTATTATCAATACAGAAAAAAAGTTATTTACAGGTTTTATATCTCAAAAGAAAAGTCGTGATACGCGATGTAGCTTTCAGATTATCATACGATACAGAAAACATTCATATTAGACTCTGTAACTGGTTCTCGTGAGCAAAATTTACATTTCGTGTAATCCAGATCCCACTAACTCAACACTATCCCAAAACACCTGAACCTGAAACGGGATGATGGGCACGAAACACAAAACAGAGCTAAAGAAACATCAAACATCAACCGAGTGATAATGACCCATCATACGAGAAGTTTGTGAAAATGCGAGAAAAGGTTGAGTAACACTTACCGCCGCTGTCGTACAAGAACCGGTGAACCGGTTTATTGAATCGAACTGTCCGAAAGAACCGGTTCGCGGAAAAGAACCGAACTTCCCATCACTAGATTTTACTGCTGGAAAAAAACAAGCCAGTCAAAGGCAGAATAAGCGAGCAGTGGCGCCATCTAGCGGTCACACAGAGACTCACAGCTGATCACATTCTGTCTCATTACAATAATTATTAAACATATGATAGCAAAAACATTACAGACTACTCAGACCTATCATGTGTAATAAAAGCAAATTACCCCTTAAAAACGATAAGGTGGCGCTACTCTGTTAAGAACGTAAGCTCCGCCCCTCACTTCCGGTTCTATGGCTGCGGTTCTGAAACTGCTGGTGCTGCGGGTCTGCAGCTGGATATACTATTGCAATTCTCTGATCTACACAAACACATACAGCAATGTATGTTTCCTAAGGAACGCCTTTCTTAATGAATTACAAATATGTGTTGTTGTTGCATCTAGTGGTCACATTACATTAGTCTGCTTTTAAGGATTAGTTTTAGGATTGTTATGATATAATCTGGCCAATATGTTGTGGGTTTACTGCACTTGCCTTTATTATATCATAAATAAAAGTTTTATAGTTAAATTGTCGTTGGCATATATGGTTAAATTATGGCTTCAGGGGGCCAGGGCTAGAGTGAGCGGAGGCCAGTGGCTAGAGTGAGCGGAGGCCGGAGGGCTAGAGTGAGCGGAGGCCGGTGGGCTAGAGTGAGCGGAGGCCGGAGGGCTAGAGTGAGCGGAGGCCGGAGGGCTAGAGTGAGCGGAGGCCGGGGGCTAGAGTGAGCGGAGGCCGGTGGCTAGAGTGAGCGGAGGCCGGAGGGCTAGAGTGAGCGGAGGCCGG